CATCACTCTGGCGCACTACTGTGGTCTCGAATTGCATCCATCGGACAATCCTTGAAGGAGAGAACGGAACTGCAGCATACAGCACCCTATCTCTCACGACATTCGGCTCCGGCCCCCCCCCCCCTGCAATCACACGCTTACTGCCTAGCTCTCCCTGACTGTCTCCACTCCGGGGCGACGTTCTCGACACGACCCATGAGCGCCTGAAGCACTGTGTGCTGTGCCGCAACGCGACCGCGTCGTTTCCCCATCCACCTTGCAGCAAACCACCAACCGAATCCTTGCCACAACTCCCCTGTCCGCGCCGTGTCGTGTCGTTTGATGTCGGCCAGCGGCGACGGCGTGGGGCATCCATTGAGCGAACGGACGAATGAAGGAACACCCACCAGCCCACAGGCTCTCAGAGGCACCTACCGGTACTAAGGTACACTTCCTGTATATTACCCCGTCGCAGCTGGGGTCTGGCCAGCGCTATCGATTCCAAGAGAATGGATGCCCGCCTCGAGGGGTACAGTACATACATCGTACATATCCGTACACAAGCACAATCTCAGCACGTTGCCAATTTCCGCCAATCACTGATTGGCCAGATTGTCCCTGGGCTGCTAATTCTGGTAGATGATGAAAGTCGTCTAATCAGGCGCGTCAAATGTCGCTTCGGTACCTGTCCAGCAATCGATTGCAGCATTAGGACAGAAAGCGACATTAACGGTCTTTGGCGCTTCTTTAGAACCCGGCGACTCACCGAGCCGCTGCTAGCAGGTCGCGTCTTGTCTTGACCGCTGCAAGAAGCTTTCCAGACTACGCTGCTTCAAGGCCCTACCGAGGACCAACTTTCAGCCGATCGTCGGTCTTGTCAGTGCCCATGTATGTATGTACTATGAGCTACTTGCCCTTTGCGGATGGCATGCCAGCGCTGATTGAGGCAGGCTTCTAGAGCGCCACTCAAAAAATGGGCGCAAATGAGCCTGGCCGAGCGACAGCTCTCCAAACCAGGAAATCAGCTTCGGGTGACATCTGGGAACACCCCTACACCTTGTGCAGCAAAGCTAAGCCAGCCAGCCCGCCCGTGTCACAGTGTCCCACACATGTCCTGCCTGTGCAGAATACCCAACTTCATAGTCCAAGAACTCCAATTGTTCTGCGAGTGCCAGCACCAAGGGCCGTTCGGAAGCCTTACGCGCAGCTCGGGTATCCAACCGGCCCACTGGGGACATCGTCATGTCTTTGACCAGCTGAAAGCAGTCAACCAAGCGGGCCATTCAATAACTGCAAAAGACCGAAGACAGACCAGGACAAGCCGAGGCTCTCGATTCCGCTAGTCGCGGTAGCTGACAGGGGTTCAATCTTGTACCCTACGATACCCACTAGGTGGTTGTCGCACTTGTGGGGGGGCCTAATCATCGAGCCAAATGGGCCCCCACCAAGACCTTGGGATCATTGATTATTTCGTTGGCGTGCTCGCTCAACAGTGCGCGCGCTTGGTGGTCTCTCGTGTCTCGACCTCGAGGTCTCAATGTCAAGGCTGGGATTCGGGGTTGAAAGATGATCTTTCAACGACACTCGAGTGCTTTGCCCACGCGGTTTGTCTCGGGAGCGGCCCATTTGCTCTCTCTCTCTCTCTCTCTCTCTCTCTCTCTCTCGCGCGCGCGCGCGGATCCTTACATTGCAGTCGTCAACCGTGATGTTCTGACCATTGTTGCTGGCCAGACAGGAAGCGCTCTCGGTGCACACGCACACGCACACACACACACTACGATAGTGGCTTGTTATGTATTTACTGCTTGGGATCGGGAGGAGTCAAAATTGAGGGCAGATAGAGGGGGGATTAGTTTTTTTTTTTTTTTTTAAAAAAAAACCATGCGCGGCCGGGGTTCAGTACATTCGTGGGGTGTTGGCTGACAGGAGCTGTCTTCTGTCCCAGCTTGACGAAGGTACAAAGCGCATGGCCGCTCAACCCAGGAGAGGATAGACTTACATGTAAATGCTTACATGTAAACTAGTCCTGAATGCGACGGTGCGAAAATGATTTAGGTTCTTCTGACAGCGCGCCGACGTCTGCGCTCTGTCTTGCGTTAGCTTGATACTCCTAGGGAACCGTCTTCCACGGTGTCGGCACATAATACCTGAGCGACCAGGAACGGATCCCAAACCGGACAAGTCAGGTACAGGTTCTGCAGAAATGCCGACCACGGCGCAAAAACCAGAAGCATCACCAAAAGACACAACAACGGAGTCGCTTCGACAAAGCTGATAACCAAGTGTTCCGTCATCTGCTGGTCTCTCTCGGTCTGTGTTACGCTCAGACCATAGCTTACACACCACCTAGACAGTGGATATGGAAGGGTATTGGCAGTCAAGTCACGAGTGCAGGACCAGTATTCGTACCCATGGCGGTGGGATTCCCCCTCAAGGAGACCAGGCTGTCGCTGGTCTGGTGCGGTCGGCCGCTACCTGACCGAAAGGCCCACAGGTAGAGCGGGACGCAACCTAACAGTGCCAATGGGAAGCAGGGCCATCCCTTGGCGTGGCTCCTGCGCCGGCACCGTCTGTCCCTGAGACTTTGGACTTGAGAGTCGCGAAGCCGGCGGGATCGGGTAGGTTTGCGACAGGAAGGCTGGGGAAGGAGTCGAGAGACCCGGTTGTACGAAACTACCTAACGTGCACCTCGTGAGCAGCAAGAGCAATTGCAAACCAGGGAGGCGCGCGTGGTTGCGCTTGCATTGCTAGAAGAAAACCTTTGCAGCCAGGCTGCAGGTGGATGCAGGCTAGTATCTCGCTCATCTCTTGTTCCTAGGTTATCTACGGGGCCCTCGAGAGGAAGGAGGAACAGGACGATGCAGCTCGTTATTGTGTTTATCACCCTACCCCCTCCCTCAGATGGTGCTTGATCGCGCTGATATGTCCAAGGCAATTGAAAATGAAAAATTAAAAAGGGGGAAGAGAAGATAAGCCGTGCCGCCATGTCAATGGCTGTAGAATGGCCTCCTTCCGTGGCGGCGGAGACGACGACAAGTCAGTGTGTGTGTTGAGAGAAGGAAGGTCACCTCCAGAGGCCCCACTCTCCTCTTTCGACACGATGCATGGCGCCTCGGCCAATCATGTCGACGCATGGTCAGGGCTGGTTGTGGCTCTTTCTTGCCTTTTGCCTGCCTGTCTTTCGTCCCTTCGGGTCGCTCTTTCCTTCGCGTTCTGGCTCTCGCTCCCTGTGCCTGCGCCTGGAGTGTTGTCGATTGTCCCTTGACACACCTTAGATTTCGCCCCCCCTGATCTGCTTCTCCATCGCCCGTTGACTTTTCGGTTCTCGCCCAAACGTTCGCAAACGCGCACTCCATCCCCCTCCTTCCATCTCATCTTTTTTTTCTCCTTTTGCTTCTCAGCGTCTATTCTACATGATGTTTCTCTGCATAGCCGAGAACTCGCAATGCGTGCACGGAGCACGGAGCGGGTCGATGAGCGAGAGGAATCTGCGAAACAAAGGTGTTGAACGGAGGATACTCTTCTACACTTGGCCCGTCCATCCAACCATCCACCCACCCACCACGACACAAACATCCTACACTACCTAGGTAGGTAAAAGTACGGATACGGAGTACATAAGGCAATACATGCACCGCGACGTACCCGAGGTACGTACACGCACCACCATCTCTCTCCTTGCCATCCCAGGTCCCAAAAGGTGTCGAGGTATCGTTGTGCCGCGCACTGTACGCTACAACGCGGCTAGCAGTTGACACCCCTGTCGCTTTCTCAAGGCCCCCCCGTCGCGACCGTGAGGTATGCGTAGAGAGAGGCCTAGAGCCCAAGCCCGCCACCCACCCACCCCGCCTTTCGTTTTTCCTTAAACTGTCTGGTTGTGGCCGCAGCCCGTGCTACAACCTCACTATCCTCTTTTCATTCACTCCGCAGTTCCCTCTTGCCTTATTCTCAATCGAGCTCTTTCCCCAACTGACACTTGTTGCTTGTTTTCGAGCAGGGGAAACCGCTTGACGACGACCAACAACGTTCACCCATACCAACCTGCTACTTGGCTCTCTCGAATAGCCTGAGGTTTAATTCTGGAGCAGCCAGAATATCCTTCCTTGGCCCCGTGTCTTCGATTACATCTCCGGACGAGAGAGAGAAAGGGAACCTCCGTCGGAGCTCGGCTTTGCCTTACCACACCTCTATCTCTGCTCTCTCTTCTCCTTCTCTTCCGGTCAAAAAACCCCACACCCCTTCCCCCCCAAGTCACCCAAATCGCGTTTTTCCTTTTTCTGTGCGACTAGCCACCCACCCACCCACCGCGACCATAATATACGCTCCTCTGCAGCAATACGCCAACCGCTCGGCTCTTAATTCGCACTGCAGCCAGTTTTCTGTCCTGTTTCGCCAGGCCGAGCCATCCCGCTTTCGCTGTGAACAACCACCACCACCACCCACGCGTTCAACCCACTACTTCCAAGACCAATTCCTTCGACAGCACGTCGGCGCCTGTCAAAAGATAGTCGCTTTCGACCGTCGACTGTTTAGGACAAATCTCGTCCCTCCACTGACCCCTCGACAAGTGCGAAGTGCATTGCATCTCAGGCACGGAAGCTCCAAAAGTCAAACAAAGCAAATAAAAAATTAAACCTGCAAATTCCTCGCTTCCGTTGGTCGGCAGAGGGGGGGAAAAAAGGTCGCTTCGACATTCACACACCACCACCAATCGCCCGAGTACCTCCACTACCTTACACCTTACCTTTTACTACCCTAACCTACCCGTCTTTCAACCTTCCCTACCTTTTCCACCTCCACCTCCCGCAAAAGGCACCGCATCGCATCCGCTCCGCACCAGACTCGATACAGGCTACGTCCCGTTTCGACCTGCTTTTTCTGCGACAGGAGCCCAAGCTGCACACAGCAGCACCTCTTCCTCCCTGATCAAGTATAGATCAATCGGCACCACGCTCAAAAGAGCATCTCCACCGCTTTTACCTTTTTCTGCCTCGCTTGTGACACCGTCCAACAAGTCCACAATGGCCGACATCACCGACCAACACGACCAGACTTCGCCCACCGACCTCGACGAGTCCCAGGTCGGCAACGGCAACGTCCCCGAGAACAGAGGTGTCAAGCGCCAGCGTCCCAGCACTGCCGACGACGACGACGACGATGACGAGAAGGGCGGCCGCGAGCGTCGCAAGATCGAGATCAAGTTCATCAACGACAAGTCACGTCGTCACATCACCTTCTCGAAGCGTAAGGCTGGAATCATGAAGAAGGTGAGCATACACCACGCCCAATCGTTCCTGCACTCTCGCTGCTGTTATGATCGCTTATCCTCGCGTGCGCGCGCGCGCGCGCGAGCGATCACATACATGGCGCTTTCTGCTCATCAGTTGCTGACCCCGATTTGCTATAGGCCTACGAGCTTTCCGTCCTCACTGGCACCCAGGTCCTGCTCCTCGTCGTTTCCGAGACGGGTCTTGTCTACACATTTACGACGCCCAAGCTGCAACCGCTTGTGACCAAGGCTGAGGGCAAGAACTTGATTCAAGTACGTCCACGTTGCTCTCAGCGCGACTACTCGTTAAGAGACACCACGCTAACCTTTGATGCAGGCCTGCCTGAACGCCCCCGAGCCCTCTCAGGGTGGTGAGAACGGCGTCGACGACTCGAACCAGGTCGACTCCCCCGAGGAGCCTCCCCAACAACACCTACCTCCTCAGGCCGGCCGCCAGGGCATGCCGCAAAACCCCCACATGCCTCCCAACTACATGCCCAACGTCGGCATGGATCCTTCGCAGGCGCTCGCATACCAGAGCTACGTGCAGCAACAACAACGGGGCGGCGGCTACGCCATGCCGCCGCAGTCTGGTCTCCCCCAGCACACCTCGCATCAGTCATGATAACCAGGTTATCTCTTGACTTGTGCATTTCTCGCTGATACCAGACACATTCTGCATCTCCCAAACCTTGGCCGTTGGTCCTCGTGTTTCTTCGTCCTACGTCGAGGTTCTGGCTGTTTGGCGTTATAAATCGATGTGGCCACTTTACTGCACCTCGTCCCACTACGTTTTTTTCTTTAATTCCCTTGATTCCGAATTCTACTTGCTGCCAATTCGGATGCCGCAGACTTCGTGCAACTCGACCACGCTGCCTTGGTTTCTGAGGACGCAAGGCTCTGTATGCCTTGCTTATCGCGGAGCAAGTTCCAATGATGCGCAATGAGGGTCATACTGGGGTGCGTTACGAGGGACGGAGTAATATTGGTGTATGCATCTGAAAAGACAGGGCCGGGGTGACATGTCGAAAGAGACAACCTCGTTGAACCCGGCCTTTTGCTGTGGAGTTGGTTGAAGAGCTGACTCCATGCGAGGCTTGTGTGGATTCGAGCTTGTGTGGCACCGTGGGCCAACCCCCTTTCCCTTTCTTTTTCATTTTCTCTCTTTCTCTCTCTCCCTTGGGCGGCGGAGGTTGCGATGTTCGAGAAGTCTGCCCTGAGGAAAGGGCTGGAGGGGGAAGGGGGATTCCGGCATGGGAAAGGTGGTTTTCATTCAGCATGAGAGCATGATATCTCACGGCTGGGCAGGCACGGCTTCTTCTTTTTTTTTTCTCCCTCGCCCCTCCCGGAATGGACTTTGACGATTTGTCTCAATTCGGGGATCAATGAGGACCAGACACGCGCGAATTTTACTCCCCCTAACTCGTAGGGACTTGGCTCGACACCCCCCTTCTCGGCCCTGGACAAATCAACAAAAAAAAACCTACAAAAGTCCCATGTTTACACGCTCATGTTGAACGCCAAATGCGCCCACCCTCAGCAGTCCGAACCCAGCTCGGTTTGGCAGCAAGGGGCTATCAGGAGAAACGTCGGGGAAGCGGCTGTATGGGGAAGAGGAAGGAGATGCAAGAGAGCCAACTTTGTATGATAGTATATCCCCGCGCGCGCGCCTACATTTTTTATCGGTTTCTCAACGTCTTTTTCTACTTCTACCGCCACCATCACCGCTGCTGCTACTATACTACCTCTACTACTACTACATCGTACTACAACTAGACCAGTCAGGGCCTGACAAATGCTAATCTTTCGACGCTTCCTACACTGTAAGCTTGGACCCTCCAGCGATACCTGTGAGCCCCCCATCCTCGTCGGGGGGTTTTATATCTTAAAAAAAATATTTTATATCTCCTTTTTCAGATTTTGCACTGATGCCTCACGAGTTCGGAGGATCCGGCTTTAGACACATGTCCCCCCTTTCGCCTGCCCGTAGGCGCATCTTCCGTCTCCCCCATGTCCGTTTGCGGACAGAATCGCGTCAGTCTCTGCCCCGTGCTGCCCTCCTGCCCGCGCGCTCTCTCTCCGGCGTCCGCCACCCGGCCGTGGACACGCATTCCGCAGCGGTGACATGACAAGTGGCTGAACTTTAAAGGAGAATTCGAGACACTTCGTCAGTAGTCCGCCGCCGCCGTCGACCCCCCCTCCTTTCCGCCTCCCGTCCGCCAGCCCTCGCTTATCCCCTTCCTCCCCTGTTCCCTTTCCTTCCACCCTCCCCTTTTATCAAGGTTGTCTCTTTGTCAGAGTTCGTGATGGCTAATCCCACATGTGTATGTGGCTGCGCAAAGGCGCGTTTCTTTTGACCTAATCTGGCGGCCGCATATCAAGACCAACCTGCTTTTCTCACCCTTTGGACTATTCTTTTCTTTTCTTTTCTCCCGTCTTTTGTTTCTGTTCTTCTTCCTTGGGTTATCCCAATTGGATTCGAGCTTCGGTCGGGCGGTGGGCGGTGTCGTCCTCGCCCGTCATTCCATTGAGCTAAGCTGCGGCCCCACGTGAATTTGCGGCATCCGAGTGTGTGATGCGTGGAGGGGGAAAGGATGGGTTCGATAGCGGCTGTTCTGGCCCGACATTGAGATCTTCGCTTTCCCCCCCCCCCCTTCTCCCCGTGTCGCAGACTCCCGAGATACCGGAGATCGGATTGCAAGGATATGATGGATGGATGGGTGAACGACTTGAATGCTGTTTTTGGCCGTCTGCTGGGTTGTGATTCGGCGAGTATGTGGCCTGCCTTTGCTCAGTCTAACCGCTGGAGGTGGACAGGTGGACGGTAGCCCTTTCGGGAGTCCTGCCCCGCCAGCCGGCGTGCCTGTTCATTGCCAGTCAGTGTGCTCCGTACCCTGCCTGCCTCGCTAGATGTAGTGCGCTCGTCCGCAGGGCGGGGTTTGGCGGGGAAAGGTGGTAGTGGCCAGCCCATCAAGTAGTAAAGCAGAAACACATTGAACAGTTCGTCGTGGGCGGTCTTGCATCTGCGGAAAGTCAGATCATGGTTAAACGACAGCATTCGTCTTGGGAGCCAGAGACCGTGAGGAATGATGCTCTGCATCATAGTCACATGCATGATTTCGCTTTCGTCCCGTGTACCTGGCGGATTGGTAATCAGTCGCGGGGTCTCGGTCGTTTCTTAGCTGTTTCCATTTCCGAAGACCTGACGCTGCTGGTGGCGATGGTGGAGGTTTTTTTCAGGAGGGGGTGAGGTACTTTCTGGATTCGGACATGATGCAGGGACAGCTCGTTGCCTGTTTGGGCCTGGCGGACATTGATGGGATTCGCGCCGTTGAAAGCCGCGATGAGAAGCCATGGTCGGGTCAACAGCATTGAGAAGATGGATTCGATACAAGTGTTTGTTTAGGCTTCATTAAATGGACGTCTCGCTTGGATACCCGGAGCGAATGCCTGCGTCGTTCCTCTAGATGAGCATCGTTCATCAGCCGTCACAATGGTCTCTTCCATTCTCAATGTGTGGATTCTTATGCCCAATGGCCCAGCCACCAAGAGCGAGCAGGACTGGGAGTGTCTTTGTAAATTCCGGAGCCCGTAGAAGTTTAAGTGTCGTGTGCTCCGTCTTCAGATGTAGTTATGGAAAGCAATACGCAAGACGTTGTCTTTGTGCTCGTTGTCTCTGGCATCGGACATTGCGCCGGGTCCCCTGTCTCTTCGGGCATTTGGCAACTTTACCTCGTCGCAATTCCGGTTCCCAATCAGACGGATGTTGACCAGGGTCCACCAGAGACTGAGGCCCGGAGACGGTGACTTTGTAACACACAGTGCCCGGAGTTGGGTATATGATGATGATGATGATAATATTTAACCGCCCGTCAGGTCCAAACTTGTAGCACAAGGCGCCCTAAACAGTCTATCTTCTATATCCCACTAGTCTAAACAGCTGACCAAAGAGTATCTACTAGAGGGTGGATAATAGAGAGGGAGAAGAAGGGTGTTCTAGTTCGTGTGGGTACGCAGGTGGCCTAGGCGAGAGCGCCTTAGACTAGTAATATAGGTGTATAGAAGAGAAGTCTAGCCTTTAGGCTGATTACTCTAGTCTTTAGAGGCCTTTCTCCTCTCTATTTCTTGTTCTTGCTCAAGCAGCTAGCTTACTAGCTATCGATTCGCTGGTCGGGCTGGTCGGGAGGCTGGCTTAGCTGAGTCTGATTGATTGATTTGGCCGGTTGGAGGGATTGAGCAGGCCGGAGAGAGGAAGTTGGAGTTGTTAAAGAGGGCTAGATTAAATCGCAATCTAGAAAGAAGAGCAAGGAGTCGCTCTTAAGCTTCCTAGAGCAATAGATAGAACCTCCAGGAGAGTCTCTATTGCTCTGAGGCGAATTGAGGTAAATGGCGATTTCATTGTTTTGATTCGTAGGCGGGGTGGTGTTAAGGGCTTGTTACCCCAATTAGGCCCTTTTCCCCTAAAAAGGGGCAAAATTGGGGCCTACGTTAATGTTGCACTAACAATGCAAATCAGAGGTGGTAGGTGTCTGTGGGAGGTTGCCCGGAGTTGGGTATACTCTTTGCCAGTTGACGAGTGTCGGGGTCGGAAAGACAGTAAAGATACAATGTAAGATGAAGGGCTGATACAGCCACCATAGCTTCGCCGCCTGTTGTCGCTACTTCATCAAACCTCGGCCTGGCTGGGACGAAGCGGCAGAGGATCGTCGATCCCTGGCACTGATGTGGGTTATCTCGACAGTTGCGCAACGACAAAGAGGCTTGCTTGCCAGCTGTTCATGGCTGCAACGCAAAAGCAGACGGCGCAAAGGGAGACGCTCTAGCTGTAGCACCGGCATCCTTCCGTCTTCTCACATGGAACTTGCCGCCTGGCTTCGTTTTCTGGTAAACGGATAAACGAAACAAACTAAACGGGTAAGAGCATCGGAGCCACGAAGCCTGAACAACCCACGGAAAGAGCAGCTCAGATGAAACGAACCGAGGCAAACTTCCTAGAATACGGCCCTCGGGAAGGACTAACGGTGCGATGAGTATCTCCGTGTATGGACGACCTTTTCTTTTCATTTCTTTTCATCGAGGAAGGCGACTTAGAGTTGTCGGGGTCTCGTAGGGAGGATGCCTGTTCATGGACGGTTGCTACGTGTCCGTACTCGCAAGACAGCAAGACATTAGGTAAGCACGTGTGCCCAAGGAAGGGGTAAGGTTCTTGTCCAAACCGTTCATATCGTTACCCCACCATTATTGGTGGTGTGTCTTGCAGTGTGGGTTGAGCTGTGGCCATTATGTTGAGCGGCCCCCCGACAAGCCAAATGTTTGATAGGCAGCCCAGACACGATACGGTTCAGCAATGACCCATGTGGTGATGCATGAGGAACCTGGATGTGAATAGTATGGGGAGACACCAATGAATGCTTGGCCTTGGCACGTCTTACAACCCTGAGAGGGGGGAACCGAAGGAGCGGGTTGAGGGGTTTTGAGAAGGTTTCTGCACGGACCAGGTGGCGGTACCGGAAGAACCCATGTACTTATACTAATATCACTACCACAGAAGTCAAGGGCACTAGGCACAGCACGAGGAACTCATGATTGGGGGGCATCAGACCTCACGACGGCTTTTTTTATCATCACAGCTTTTGGCTCGGCGGCTGTCCGCTGGGGTAGGGAGTGTGCAGGATCGCGAGAATAATACACAATCCAATAGAAATATGGTAGAATCCTTCTTAACTGAGGTCCCCCTCCCCCGGGGGAAAAAAGGCCTACAGAGAATAAAAAGTAAATAGTAGGTATATCAAAGGCTTGAACTGACTTCCTCGCTTTTGCATTCTCGTGATCGCGTTTCTTCATTCCCGTCTCCTCGGCTACCACAAAACTACCGATATACCCGCAGGGTTTCGTATTAACGCAGTAGGAGCAAGTTAACCGAGTCTTCGACGTTCTCTCCCTAGCCAAACGTCTGATAGCCTCTAGTGCTCACCCAAAGTAGCAAAGCGACCGAGAGCGAGACTGCCCAGGAAGACGCCGGCCAAAACCGAGAGCAGGTAACCAACGTTCATGGTCATGACAGCCAACATGCTAAGGCCATTGTCAGTTTGATGATGCACGGGGAGAACAACGGGGCCACGTACAGTAAATATCCGACCCCAGCAATAGCGGTGTCAATTAGGGCACGGATGGGATCGACCGAAAACCTCCACGGCCTCCATATCCCGTGCTGCTTCTGGACGACAGTGACGTTCTCCTCGACGCCGTTCTCCGAGAGCACCATCTGTTTCGCCATGCTCTCCGACGAAATTTGACCGGCCATACCCATCTTTCCGTTGACGCTGATGTAGCGACGCTTGAAGTCCTTGTCAAGCCATCGCTTCTCCTGGATGGACTTGAGCGCCACCATGCCGCGCATGCAGACGGCGAGAAAGATGAGGAAGATGCAGGTTGCGGCGTAGGTGCCGACGCTGTTCGGGGTCCACGCCTCGGTGTACAGAGGAGTCTTGATGCTGTTCTGGAAGATGCTCATCATCATCATGCTCATGCTGCCGCCGCTGCTGCTGCTGCTGCTGTTCATCGAGCCGGATCCCATGTCCATTCCCGGCATAGCGTCGGCGGCGGTCGCTGCGCCGTGGGCCTCGTCCCCATGCCTGGCCATTAGAAAGCTGTCCATCGCGGCGGTGTCGTGGGTGAAGCGGTCGACGCTGGCGGCTCGGCAGTAAGGGAAGAGGATGGAATGTATTCGTAGATCAAGGGAGTACCGGTCCGAGAATCAACGGACAAACCAGGCTCCAGTCCCGGTCGTCAAGATCGTTATCACTTCGGATTGAGGGTAAGGAGGAGGGGGCGTGAGAGAGAGAGAGAGTTCTTCAGATGGAAAAAAACGCCAAGATGTAGAGGACAAGGCGACGAGGTCAGTGTTATAGATTGGGAGTGAGAGGGGTTGCGTGAGATCTTCAGACGCTTCGAGCAAGGAGGGCGTTACGGATTGGGTTGCGAAGATAACAGGGCGGCGAAACGAGAGCAAGTTTTCCGCATTAATAGCAAGTGACTTGGCTTCTACCAAGATGCCTCAGCCGGGCAGTGACTTTTTGTTGTCCGTGCTGACGTTGTTAGCAGGCGAGTGCCGTGGACCATGCATCAAGCTGATAAGGACATACGGTTGTGCTGCTACTGTGGCAAGGGCGCTCCCTCAGAAACGTGCGCACTGGTGGAGTAGGTATGCGACAACGCCAAGGGTGGATGGTAAATGGGTCTTTCCTATCTCTCACCGCTTCTCATTGGTCCTCTATCATTCTTAGCTTCGACGGCGCAGGAAAGGCAGGAAGGGCAGGAAGTGCAGGAAGTACCGTCACCTCTTCCACTAACAATTTCCTGCTCGAGTGACTTAATTTTAAAACAAACTGCTCACCTTGTTACAGTCCGACATCAGCCGCTTTCCTATTCTGTACCATTTTCCCGCGTTTTCGACATTGTCGGCCTTTGAACGAATAAACAGACGAGATAAATTATATTCGTTGGACTGAACGTTGTCGCCTCATACTCAAGGCTTACCCGCCACCCTATCCAATGGCACGATGTTACTAATAATACCAGTTTTCAGCCGCCCTACATCCAGAGCATCTCAAATAGATGCTCCAAGAGGCGACGATACAGACATGGACTTGCACTGGAAAGGGTCGGCAGATGGCCGGATCGACCCCGTGTCTGACATCCAATCCCGAACCCCTGCCAACCACGAGCATGGGACTGTGGCCATTGTTGGAATTCTGTCGCCGGATCCTGCAATGCTTGGTTGGCTTGGCACACCTGGAACTGATGCGAAAGTCGACCTTACTGCTATCGTTCGAAACGCCTACCGCAGCTACCTTGCCAGCAAAAGAAATAAGCACATCTTGAGGTCTCATGCACCGCTAATAAGCCCAAAGTCTATCCGCCCTTTCAAATGCTCGTCCGATGTCACCTTGGCCCAGCCTACCTATTCTCTTCTGTCCTGCCGCCTCATAAAGGGATCGACCCCGCAACCCTCTATATCCCAAGACAGCCAATCGCAATCATGTTTCCCCATCTCTCCCTCACAAGGTACATAGATAATGGCTGGGCCGCCAAGCACGCCTTGTTGACTGACAACTTTCTTCCTCATGCCCCATTCCTTGCACAACGCGCGGTTTCCGATCTCCGAGGGACTAGTCCAATGGTCTCGGGATCTGTTCGGCTGAAATCCCACAATCTTATTGTACCTCATGGTGACGTTTTATTGCAAGCACCATCGCATCTTGCTCGGGCAGTCGGATCTATCCCGTGCGACTACCTACTAAGCATCAAGGAAAGCATTGCACGCCTACGACTACTAGGGAAATCAAACAGGGGCCATGTTTGCACGGACCACTGAGAATAGAAAGTGTACTTATGCTAACACTGACTTTCTCCAACCATGCAATGACTTAGAGTTACCAGTTTGCTTCTTAGGTGTCCCTGTCCCTAACTTGCTTTCCTGACTATCTCTATGGGCAGCCGGGCTTATGAACCGCCCAAGCGGTTGAAGTTTCGCCAGAGTCATAATATAGAAACTACATGTAGAGTAAGCACTGTCGAAGGTACGATAGGTGTCAAGCCACCTCCGTGTCGGCATTCCGCAGCAAAGTCGTCTCACGGTTGCTCAGTCAAGAACGTTGCGTCGTCAATGCTGGCACGTGTACGACAGACGACGAGTCAGAACCCTTGCAACCTTTCTAATCGGCACCTAAACGCCATCCTTTTAGTAGGTATTCGGACTTTGAACCTTCGTATGGTGGAGAGGGTGTGATGAAGCTTAAGTCGCCAAACCGGGTGCACCCACGACTCATTAGCTCAAGCACTGTTACACTGGAATAACCTGCAACAACAGCATCCTAGAAAACGTACCGATCTTTGCTGCGAGAAGAAGACAGCATTAGAAAAAAGAAAAAGGGAGAAGGAAAAAAAGGTAAGACAGCCCCACTCGGAATACCAGAAAAGACGCTTAGACAGTGATTTGCTGTTTCGCCTTACCAAACGAGTCGATGACCAACTCAGTTTATCAACGCCTTTCTGGACTAACAACTACCTCGACAGGATGCGGCGCGACGGGTGATGATACGGTGTCCGTCGTGTCCGGTCTCCACATCAAGTAATGCACAAAGATGCGGACTCTGGTCAAAACGAACGACAGCTTTCTGCTGGGTAACCATAGAGAGACGAAGCATCCAAGTTATCCCCTGAGCAGGATGCTTGGTAAAACCTCGCTCACGCTATAACTGGCACACAGGAAGAGCGGGGTTCTCCCCTGGACCGTGATGGAATCGGAATGCATCTTTCACACAATCGGCATCGTCACCACGCACGACTGCGGAACCCCATGTTGCAGGGGTGCCCGGCGATCACCGATCCGAACGAATGCAACCGCTGGCGATTTAGTGCCTTCTGGACAGCCCTTCCCGGTTATCCTTGGGTATTCACCAGCCCGACTGCGGTAAAAAGCGTTTGATGTCTTTTGGGTCGGAAAAACCATCGTCTCACAGTGTTCTGCAGCCTTCCGCAAGATGCATGACTGCCGCTCTATCCATATTCGCCACCCCCGTCCACGTCACGTCGGCACCGGATGGTTCCCACTCGGTCACAAATCACTTTGGTCGCGGATATTTGTCTCCATCAGACATGGAGACCGATCTGCACCAGCCCGCAGCATATCCACGGTTGAGGCCACAGATTTAGTCAAAGGTGGGACCCTATCTGCACCCAACCCAAATCGCGGAGCCGGGATTAAGGAGTGGACAACGCAAGTTGCCGAGCCTATTTTAACGACTTGCAACGGATGCCCTTGCTCCGCAGAGTGGCTGCTCATCGTTAGCCCGATAAATGCTGTGTTGAACTACTAAGTTGACGTTCAATGGGAGCCGTCGCAGCCTCGGCGACAGCCGATCTACTGCGGGGGTCACTCCGTGATCTCGACTAATACAAGCCTCGAACTGCTCGAACCAAGAGGGGTTTGCCGACTCATCAAAGCCGTCGCGGAGTTCGCATGGCACTTGGCTCGAACCTTATGGACTTTCTTCCTCGGCTGCATGTGCAAAGCATGGCGGTTCCATGCTCTTTAATATACTGTCGTGAATAGCCACGCGAAGAAGGCTGGTGGTTGATTTTCATACGTTCCAAAGCTCCCGATTTCGCCCATGTCACAGCATGCCCGACGTATGATTGGCGTGCATCAACAGCTTGGGCCAACTTGACAGCCAACGGGGAGCGGAGGGTCAATGTGCTGGGTGTCACGTAACACAGATGGCAGTGCTGCAGTGAGTGCCATTTCTTTCCACGAATCGGCCAAAGTCCATCAGCAGGGGTATCTTCGCCGAAAGGAGGCTATCCGTATACACGCCCATGAGCGGAGTAATTGTACCACGTCGGAGACGTCGGCTAGGCAGAAGAGGGGGCCGTTAAAAGTGCAACGGCTTCTGGCCTCCTGATAAAATGGCACATAGTGATTGGTACAGGCACCCTCGACGCGATACCTGCCTCCACGACGAATACTTCACCGGACGTGATGCAGGCGGTGAGATTAAGTCAGTGCAGCGTGGATAGTATCAGGACATGGAGCTGCTGCCAGCTTTGGGAGGATTCAAAACCGCTGGTACCCGGTCCCAAGGGCGGATTTCGGCTCAGCGGAACCGGCCGTTCGGCATAACACCAAGATGAAAAGCTGCAAATACAAGCTCTGTCGAAGAACTTTGCAGTGGCAGAACTCTCGCATATAATTTGGCAAGTTGAAGACGACAGACACACACCGGAGAAAAACAGGCTGAAGCCGTCACAAGATTTGGAAAGGAGCCGGCCAATCCCATCAACCTGTACGCCGACTCTTTTTTGAAGGAGCTTGTCTTGGATGATATCATGGGTCGATCGAACGCAGAAGACACAAACGTGGCGAGGACACCCAGGTCGACAGGACGGTGGGCGTTTGATTGTTATGGGGATCCCCAATCCTGCATCCGGAAGTTCAGCCTCTTCCACCTTGAGGGGAAACTGCTAGACTCGAACCAGGATGAGCGATGGTTTATTTACCGAGTGGCCAGACAGACAGCATTTGCGTGGCGCGGCAGGCTTTTTCGTCTCCGAGGGGCTTGTCAACGCCCTGGTCTCGCGACCAGTCTGCTGGACCTTTTCGCCTTGGCCGCGGTTAACAAGGCGTCTCTCCTCCCACGTTGAGCCAGAGTCCGAAAGAGAAGGCGCACGAAGGGTGTCCGCCCAAACGTCCGCCACGCCCAAGTGGCCTCTGTGTGGGAAGGGGGGGGGGGGGGGGGGGGAGGTTCGGAAGACGAGCATTGGACCCTCTCGCGATGCACAAACGAGAACCTCTAGAAAGCGGGAGCAAACAAGCCGCCCAGATCAACTTTGCCAAGACCAGACACCGATGTGTGACATTGTGCGCCGGGCCTGTCAGAATATACTCGCTTTTCTGAGCCATCCCTCCGGCGATGGCGTCAAGCACGATCACGACGTCAATGTGGGTTGTCACGGAGAATGGCCTTGTCGCCCCTCACCCAACACTTTCGTCGCGCGGGGGGGGGGGGAGACTTTCCAATGCGCCGAGGAAGCCATTCCCCATACGGCAGAGTTGATACAGGGCCTCATCAGAGCTGCCCATTAATTCCAGAGCCC